ACCCTTAGGCATTAAGTAATCTACACAACAGTACATGGTGGCCTGTGTTAGGTACATAAGATCAGAGGGCACCAAGAGAACAACTACCCACTACTCGAAAACACTGTAGTTGCTGGAGGAGTAAACAAGCAACAATGCAATTCAACAAATGTTTGTACACAGATGTTTGAAACATCATAAATAGGACATGAGGGATATGAAGTTTTGCCAAGATGCCTAAGGGTGTACGAAATATGAATTGAGGCATGTGAAGGAAACCAGAATGTTACCCCAAAATATGTCTCTGACATACTAATTATTTTGAGTCGAAAGAAATTAAGCAGCAGTAAATGTAGAAAAAGCTCCCCCTTTTCTGCCTACAGGCAGGAAATGAATTTTCCTTTTACTGGAGACAGATTCTTAGTAGCCCAGAGACCAGCACCAGAGGAATCTGCAAACAAACCTTGTTAAACTAACCCTTATCTTCCTAGTTACTTCTTCACCATTTACTATCTCTAGCCCAAACTCCTTTGTTTTGTCACTTCCTCACAAATGTATTGTTTGTCTAAAACATATAAAAGCTTCCCACTCTGTTCACTTCTTCAGGTCTTCATTCTTTTGTGAAGGGTCCCATGTGCATGTAAAAATTCAATAAAGTTTGTGTGCTTTTTCTCCTGCTAATCTGTCTTTGTCAGCTTAATTTTCAGACCCAGCCGGGGACCCTAAGAGAGTCGAGGGAAACTTCTTCCTCCCCTACAGATCAAATCTAAGGAGGAGATAAGAATGGAAAGAGGTTAAAAAACAGAAAAGTTAGGGGCTGGCCAGGTGGCATAGTGGTTAGGTTCTTGAGCTCCACTTCAGCAGCCCAGGGTTTGTGGGCTCAGATTCCGGGCATGGACCTAAACACCACTCACCAAGCCATGTTATGGTGGAGTCTCACATACAAAACAGAGGAAGATTGGCACAGATGTTAGCTCAGGAACAATCTCCCTCAAGCAAAAAGAGGAAGATTGGCAACAGATGTTAGCTCAGGACCAATCTTCCTCACCAAAAAAAAACCCAAACAAACCAAAAAACAGCAAAGTTAGCGATAGGAGGTGAGAGCAAGTAAGGGTATGATAAAGGGAGACAAGCCAGGGCAAACAGTGTAGGATAGAGTCTACGAGTGGATGGTATGTTTTGGGTGATCATTCTCGCGCTGAAGTCTTGCTGTATGTGTCTTATTTTTGTGTTTGATAGTATTATTTGCCCTTAAGGAAGTATCTGAGAATGTTAAAGGATTCTGCAGGTGAGATGTTCCAAACATAAGGTCTTCCCCTAAAAAGCAACTGGAAACATGTGCATAATTATCAAACCTCACTTGGGTGAATGAATCAAGAAAAAGGTTCTCTGGCAATGACTGTTCTTCACTCTCATGCCAGAAGGAAGAGTAAAATGGTGAGAGGTGGGGAAAAAGTGGAGGGTGAGGTGAGGCTTGTCTGTTCATTTAGTCTCTTATTCTACAAATATTTATTGAGTTCCTACCTTATGCTGCACAGTAAGTTCTATATTGTATATTCTCGTGTCTAAGTAATTGCTCAAAGTAAACAGCATAATCAAATAAACCAATTAATTTTTACAAGGAATTTTCCAACACATTAGATATTGCTCTAGCCTAGACCGTCTCTGTAACAGCCTCTCTAAGTGTAAGTATTATGTTCCCCATAGAGGAAAAGGAGATCTGAACGGACCGCTTTGCTTCCTTAAGGCAGATTTTCTTTTAAATCCTGTCCTTCATCTCTCCTATTTCAAATATCCAACCATCATAGAGAAAAAGCAAGCACCTAATAATCCTCCAAAATACAATAGGTTAATAGACCTAGGAACAAGAAATAAATGAAATGGAAGCAGAGGCATCTTCCAAACACGTCTTTTCATTCTGTTTTATCTGCCAAGTTAAGTCACTCCCTGGTCTGGGCTCTCTCTGCACCTGGCAACTCTTCTACTGCTACACTTAGCACATGGAGTATATAAACTTTCTACTTACTTAGCTCTTTCTTCCACTAGACCACGGGCTGCTGGCAAGCAAGAACCAGGTCTCAATCCTTGGTACATCCCCTGCCTTCGAGTAAACACTGGTCCACAGCACAGAGGCCAACCGTTACCTAGGTCTATAAGCTAGAGAACGCATCAAAAGGGTTATCAAGAAAAGGACTGCCTGAATTAGATACTACGAGTTAGACTGTAGCTAGAAAACTGGAGGCAGGAACAGGTGAACTGCCAGTAAGGGGAGGCAAACAAGGAGAGCAGGCTTGGGCAATTCCCTGAAACAAGAACTATGCTCTGAGCAGACTGTGTGAAGGAAAAAGATGAGAGACAATGGGATTCTAGCCGGAAACATAAGAAAATGGGATATTTAGGTTTGCAATATGTTACATATCATACTTTTATATTTACCTTTGTCAACGTCATGTCCAGTATCTGAAACTTGAGACTTCTGAAGGATTCTCACCAAGCCCTCTCCATCATCACTCATGCCCAACAGTCTCAGTTCCTCTCTGGTTTCTTCTTACCCCTTTCCCAGTATTTTATTCTCATTGCCGCCACTTTTGTTTAGCTCCCCAGTACTTTCACTAGAGGACTAGTCTCCTAATTCAATTCTGTTTTTCCAGTCCCTTAAAAACTCCTCTCAGGTCTGAGAATATCTTCCTAAATTCTGGCTCTGATTCTATAACTTGCTGATTCAATAACCTTCAATGGCCCTCTGTTTACAAAGGTCTCCAGAATAAAATTCTATGTCCTTATTACTGTGGGATAAATAACACGGCAGAGTGCACTGTGCAAGGGCAATGGAGTCAAATAGAACTAAGTTTGCAAAGTGCATCTACCACTTACTAGCAATGTGACTTTACACGAGTCACTTTTACCTAAGGCTCAGATTTCCAGAGAGAGAGAAAGAGGACAATAACCAAAATGATTAAAAAAGAACGTGTCATACCCAGTGCTGGGTACATGACAGGGACTCAATATCTTTCCTCCCCCCTTCCCACCCAGACCTGTATTTCAGCCTTGACGATGCCCTTACCAGCCTTGGACCCTGTGCTCCACAAAGCTGTCCTCCACACTCCCAAAGACCTATGATCATGGTTCATATAGGACTTATCCTATTCTGCTTGTATCTTATTATAAGCATATTTTGATGTAATCATTATTTTGAATAATAATCATTATTAGATTGAAAATACTTCAAGGACAAAGGTTTGAACTCGTTTGGTCTTTCCTGTCACAGCACACAGCCTTATGTACTGCACATAATAGGACTCTATAAATGTGTACTAAGTTGAACTGAATAATTTCACGATTTACTCAAGTTCTCAAATAAAAAACTCCTCTTGCTTTAAGAATTAAAAGGGTTATAAACAGAATGGAGAGTTACCATACTGTAAATACAGTATATTCCATTAGCACCCAACGCAGGCCTTGAAATAGTGTTCTCTAAATTGTGTTAATTACTTTCTATGTCGCAGATTGAACACCTATTGTGGTGAACAGTCTTCAAAAATAATTGGTTTTAGTCGGAAAAAACTTGGGCAACAGAGAAAATAGTAATATCTACTCAAATCCATCATTACCACTGGAAAAAGATGCCCAAAGAACATCAGTTCTAATGGTATTGAACAGCAAAATTATTCTGTTCTAGAGTATGTTTTAATTTGAATAGGTTTGTATTGTTTCCACAGAAACTAAAACCTGAGAAAATGAGCTCAAACTGCATGCAGAAATATATAATGACTTTCAGGATGCTTCAGCTGAACTGTATTCAACGAAACAAAAATTTCGTTTCCCATTTTATTTTTGGTAAATAATACGAGAGCTAATCTTTGAAAAGATTGAAAATTGATATAGTCACGCTGCTTATTTTTTAACTCTTTTACCTTGAAAGTAAAATAACCCAAAGTCAAACTTTTACAACATAGAGTACAAAAGTTATTACTGGCGTTAACTTTTAACAGTTGTCGCCGCTGATTGTTTTAAAACACATGCCAAAACGGTTAAGGGGAACTGCTGTCAGAAAGATCCCCGCTTATCGTCCACAGCTCTAGAGCGTGAGCACATCACTTCGCTGCATCTCCAGCTCCTCACCCGTGAGACGCCGCCGACAGCGCGGCCACGTGCAGGGCCGCTGCGAGCCGGCAGATGCGGCCACTCCCGAGCGCGCCAGCGACCATCACCATCACCTTTATTACCTAGGCTGCTAGTTGTAATTACTGACAACCTGGCTATAGAATACACATGTCGTCGACAGGTGACATCGGCGATATATATGACGGTCCGCTACCTTTTAGAAACTTTTCGCCACTCGGTCCTCCTTCAAGGAGACCCCGGGGCTCCCGCCGCGGCGCACGGTCCTCACCCGCGGCGCGGCGGCTCCATCCCGAGCGGCTCCGCGGCGGGGCGACGGCAGGCGCTGCTCGGCGGCTCTCGGCCCGCGGGTCCCGGCCAGGCCGCCCGCGACGCCCCGCCCGCCCGCCCGGCGGGCCTGAGTGACAGCGACAACAGGTGCGGCGCGGCGTCCGCGGCGTCTCCCGAGCCCGCGAGGTTGGCGCGTCAGGCCGCGGGGCTCAGAGTTTGGAAAGTGCCCTCGTCGCTTTCCACCAGCTCCCGCAGTCGCCCCCCGCCGGCTTCTCGCGCCTTAGTAAAGCCTGAGGTCACCTGCACCTCTCGAAACCCACCCGTCCCAGAGGCCGCCTTCTCTCCGGGGCGGAGAGGGCCAGGCGCGCAGCGCATGGAGCTCTGCGGGGCCGCCCGCCCGCCCGTCCCCAGCCGGCAGAAAGCAGGCCAGAGCGGCCCCGGCCCCGCACGACGCTCGCCGGCCCCGACTCGCCGCCCGCTCTGCCCCTCAGACGGCCCGGAGCCGAGACCCCGGGCCGCCACCGAACCCGCCCGCCCGCACCCCTCGGCGGCTTGCGGCGCCCGCCCGCGCCGCCGCCGCCCCTCCCCACCCCCCGGGGGCAGGTTGAGGCCCCGGGTGCGAGCCTGCGCCCCTGCAGCCGCCGCCGCCAGGGGGAGAGAGGCTCCGTGGGGAGACGCGGCGTGGCTGCCCTGGTGTGAGGGCCTCTCAGACTTCAGGTTTCTGGCCGTTCCCCCCGGTTTCTGAAGAGCGTCGAGGAAGATGGAGAGCCAGTGCGGGGCGGTGAGTCCGGCGGCCAGGGCCCGGGCCAGCGGCAAAGGGCGAGGGAGACTCCGACCCTGAGGGGCGGGGAGGGCGAGGGCGAGAGCCCAAATGCCGCTCTTCGGTGGCGAAGGACCGTGGACGGGGCGCCCGTCGACCGCCGCGAAGGGCGGCCGCCTGCAGGCCGGCCGGCTGGGGCGTGGGGTCGGGGAGGAGTGGCCACCGACTGGCCCGGGCGTAGGCGGCCCGGGGGCTCGGGGACTGCCGGGAGGCGGCGGCGGCGGGGCCCGGTGCGCCCGGCGGGGGCCGGCGGGAGAAACAGCTTTCCCGCCGAAACCGCGCTCAGCGGCGTCTTCTGCGCTCGCTCCAGCCGGACTCCGCCCCGCCGCCCGCCGGGAGGGGTTGCCAGGGCGGCCGACGCCTCCTCTCCCCTACTGGTCAGTGGGGACCGGAAGGCCCGAGGGACACGGGGGGCCACCTGCGGCCCAGATATGACGGGCCCCTGCAGCCGCGGGTGCGCCCCGAGCCCTTCAGAGCGGGGAGGGGGAAGGGCGGCGGGCCGAGGGGCCGCGGCAACGTGCCGCCGCGCCCCGCCCAGCACCGCCGGCAGCCAATCAGCGCGCACCGCGGGACCGACTGCGCACGAGGCGGACGTCGCGGCGGTGCGGTTGAGGGTTACTGAGGCCGCTGCTGGCGCGCTTGCGGGCCAAAATTTCTCGCTGGCTGGCCTTCTTTTCCCTCCCGCACTTTGGTGGGGAGGGGCTGGATCCTCGTGTCACTGCCCAAGTTCACGATGACCCGAGGGACCCGGAGGAAGCTGTCGCCGTGGCCGTGTCCCCCGGCGCCTCAGCTTGCTGGCCGCGGAGGGGAAGGAGCGCTGAGGCTGTGACGGCGACGGTTAGCCCGCCCTCTTCCCTCGAGGGGAGGACGCAGAGGGGGACATGAATCTGGAGGGAATTTTGAATAAACTCTCCGGGAAGTTTTACTAACCAAGGACCCTTCATTCTAACCCAGTAGCAGCAGCTACCTAGGTGCTTTTCATACATTTGCGAAGTTGCTGCCCGTGGGATTTGGGGCTGGCTTTATTGTTGACCTCGCTGCATCGCTGAGCTTCTCTGAGGGACTCCGGTGTTGCCTCCACCCGAGCCCTGTTCCTGCTAACGTTAGAATATATTTTCTAGGCTGTCGATATTGTATTTTTCCGCCCGCAGCCTCGTGGTTGCATATCTTGAGCGGGAGGAAATGATTCATTCGTTTATTCAGTCGTTCAGCAAATAGGTATTGAACACCTGTTGTGTACCGTCGCTATAGATGGTGCAGCGAACAAAACAGGCAAAATCCCTTCCCTCGTGAGCGTTACGTTATAGTGGAAAGAGACAAACGACGTAATAAGTAAATTACATAGTATGTTGGAAAGTGGTAAGGAGAAAAGTAAAACAGTTGGAACCCACAGTAGAGCAGGAGCTTTAGAAGCTGGAGAATGAAGTGAATTGGATGTAAAAAGTTGATATTTTTCTTTTCCCGGTGTCGTTCAACTAATTTCTCAAGGCTGAGAATAAAGCGCTCTCTTCACTTCCTGTCATGACATCCCTCTCTCAATGAAAAATGATGGAGCTGACTTCTATTTAAATAAATTTGAGAACAAATGAGTTCATCTATTGAACTCATTTTGTTTTTAAGAAGAAAATTTTAGGAAGACTGATTTTTTTTAAAATTTTGCAAATAAGTAATTTCTACATTTTCTAAACAAACAGGCAGAGAGACAAGATTATATCTACCAGAACTGTTCTGTTATGTCTAGCAATACAAATTCACAGTTGAAAAATAAAACTGAACATCCTAGAATCATCTATTCTGGGCACTACGTCCTAAAAGTAAAGTGACAGAAGTTATTAATTACCTCCAAATGCCCAGAGAGGATGCTGTTAAGATTGGATTCCCAGTTTCTTTAATTGGAAACTACAACATAGCAATTATTAAATGTGATGACTTTTTTGTGGGTTAATAGATGTTTTTATGAACTCCCTTATTAGGGAGTATGTGTTTTTCCCCCTCAAAACTAGGTAAGGAATGGAACCCCCTAACTCCAGCCTATCACCCCATAGTCACCACTGGCATAGTCAGTTTTCTGTACATTTTGAAGAGTGATTATGGCTTTATTGGCCAGTGAAGTGAAAGGGGAGAACAAATGTGAAAAAGAACAACTCCAGTACCTACATTAGAAATTCATTTTCATGTATTTGTTTCTCAGAGAATTGAAATTATGAATTTCAGACTTGTTGAAGCACTCATTTAGTATGTTAGACTGTCTCAGAAGTCTGTATAGTGTTCCCAGGAGGAAAATAATTAACAAGATCTTGAGTTAGTTTCTCTTCAAAGTCCTTTTCTCAAATCTTGTTTTTTTTCAGATGTACCTGAAGTCTATTATCTTGCCGTTGTGCAAAGGCTTATATGTTAATATATACTTATTAAAATCTAAGTTAGGTCCCCTGACTTAGAATTGTGAACATTGAATATGTACTATGAGCTCAATTCTTTAGTATAAAAATTTATTTCTAAGGTATATAATTTTTTTTTTACAAAATCAGTCCAATCTGCAAATTGACAAGTGCATTTAAAAATTTGACTTTAGAGCTGAAAAACAGTGAACTTGAACGTCAGAGTTTATTAACTTGTCAATGCCCTTTAGCCAAAGACCTCAAGGAACATGTCTGTAGTTTAATGAAGTTGGTTTATTGAATTGTTGCAACAAGGAAGTACATACTCCGTGGAGCCTCTCAGTAAGAGTGTGTTAGAAAAAACTTATAGGATTTGGCTCAGGTTAAGCCCATTTTTAGAGAGAGTTTAAGGAAGAAGGGCTTTCCTCTGAAATGCATGTTGTCAGGAAGTGGAACTAATTCTGTGATTGAGTATGTTAATTCTTATCTACAAGGCAAGAAAAAATAGATTGAGGCTACAGCTGTGATTGATGAAGGAGCAATCACTCATATAAGCCGGGATAGAGGGATGTTTGGTTATTCTTGTGATTTGGACATTGCTTTTGTTACTGTCAAGGTTCCGACATGATTACAGAGTGGGCTTGTTTTTGTCTTGATCCATCACAGTCATACAGTAGCCTTGCGTGATGTTGGTGTTCTGTTAACGAGAGAATGCCACAGCGTAGCTATGAGTTCCAAGCCAACTCCCAGCAACACCAGGATCTAATCGGTTGTGCCAGGCCAGCTCCGAGCTGTGCACGGCTGCTATTCTCTTTCTCAAACTTTTATTTGAATTTAATATTCCTTCTTAACATTTATAATATTTAAATAGTGTATTTAATAATAAACATAAGTATATTTAAATAATACATTTGAGATTTAAGATTTTTTCCGTAGTGAAGTTGATTCTACATATCCTATATTATTGTTTCCCCAAAAAGTTATTAGTTCTAATTATAATCTTCATAATATTAGAATAAAATTAAAGTCTGAAATACTACATTTTGTTTAAATGATTCATTTCTTGAAAAATAGATGTTTTCAGCCTGCATCAAAACGTATACCCAGTGCTAAAAATTTAAAAAAGTTTTATTTTACAGCAAACATCAAATCAGACGCAAACAGATTCGTTATCTCCATCCCCTAATCCTGTATCACCTGTGCCTTTGAATAACCCAACAAGTGCCCCAAGATATGGAACAGTGATCCCTAATCGCATCTTTGTAGGAGGAATTGACTTTAAGGTACCTATTTATGCATGCAACATAGTGCATTTTTTGCATTAGAAGTTATTTTTCTCAGAAATTGTTTCTTTTTGCAACTATAAAAATAACATTTGCAGAATGATTAGTTGTTTTCAAATTGTCTTGCTATAAAGAATCTTTTCAACAACAATGTTGGTTAAATAGAGTGTATATAGTTATCCGATTTCACATACAAGGAAATTGAGGCTCGTTGACATGTCTATAGGCTCCTAGCTACTTAGGGACAGCTTGAAGACCAGAATCCTAGTTTTCTGACCCATAACTCCATATACTTTATTTCCCATACCATACTAATTATTCTTTCTTGCACAGTACTCCAATAGTCCAAATAATGAATGATTATAATTTTCAAAAGAAGACTCAAAAAGCACACACACAAAACTTAGTCCTGTGAAATCTTTTTTCTTATCTTTTATCTTCAACTTTTTTTTCTTCCCCCCCCCCCCCCCCCCCCGAGGAAGATTAGCCCTGAGCTAACATCTGCCATCAATCCTCCTCTTCTTGCTGAGCTAAAATCTATGCCCATCTTCCTCTATTTTATATGTGGGTTGCCTGCTGCAGCATGGCTTGAGAAGCGGTGCGTAGGTCCACACCCAGGACCCCAACCAACAAAGCCCAGGCCTCCAAAGCAGAGCTTGCAAACTTAACCACTGTGCCGCTGGGCAGGCCCCTATTTCAACTTTTATCTCAGATTCCTGAGTGACCCCCTGACTTCCATCTTCTGCACCTTGCTTTCTAGCACCTAATTTAGAATTTGATCACTAAAAAAGGCCTGCATCCTTGTTAGAATAAAGCATTTTAGCAGTAATATATTTAAATAATATAATCAGCTATTTCATTCTTTCAGAGAGACATAGTTTTGAGAAGTCTGCCGTGCCCTACACCTACAGGAAAGGCATGCATGAATATTTTAAGTGCAATACCCTTACTTCCAAGTGAATGTATAGAAGAATTTCCAAGCTTCCATATTACGTATTGGAAATTACAGAGAGATTTGTCTTTTTTCTTAATTAAAAAAAATCTCTGTGTCATCAGAGTATGATATTTGACTTTTGTAACTTGTCATTTCCCTATAATAATCTGTCACAATTTGGATGGAATTATTTTTTTCCTGCTCAAGAGAAATGTTACACTTAATGTTGTCAAAATAATGAGTCGTAAGCAAGTATGTGATTGGTTCACTAAAAATAAAGTAACAAAAATGATTTCTTATGAAATGCTTATTTTTTAAAAGATTTTCTGTTTCTGTGGAAAATATTAATGACCGACCATAAATATTCAAGTTAAGTATTCTTGCTCAGAATTTATTTATATTACAGTAGCTTAGTATATTTTTTAAATAAGTCATCAATAAATGTAAACATTTCTATGGCTAGGTTATTCTAGGTTACTGCCTATCAGCCACAAAATGAACTTTGGGGAACCATTGTTACAATGCACTTATAGCTTTAAGGTAACTGCTGCCGTTCCCTTTCTTGTACCTTTTCCCAAACTACAGACAAATGCCAGCAAGGAAATAGTTTACTGGAGGAGCAAGCAGTCTCCATCTTTTAAAAACACTTCTTTTTAGAAGCTTACAGCCCATCCCTCTTAATATTTAATCATCTTGACTTTCTGTTCCTTACTTTTCAGTGGAGAAGTGGAGCTGCAGAACTGAGCTAGTGATTCTTCTGCCAGAGAATAGTTTGAATTAATTTGTTTTCAAATCCCTAATAGAAGTCCTTATCCTGGCATTGATTCCATTGTGTGTTTATTGAAATAAGAGGCATTCAGTTATTCTTAGATTAACTCAGTATTGTCATCATCCAATTTAATAGGCTTTAGTTACCAACGAAAAACCAATAGTGTATATAAGTAGTGAGGAACCCAAGGCATACCTCTACTGTTAAGCATGTCTTTTCCTATGTTGATAAAGGAAATTTTTTTCTAGGGATATTTAGAGTTCCTCTTGTGGCCATCACAGCTGAACCATAAAATGAAATTACAATGAATTTAGTGTGAATACTTTAGGAAAAGGTGATATGAGTCTTTTATGAGACTATTTCAATTAAAACCAGATATGCCAAAACTATCTTTGTAGACATCTTGTACAGTATAGTCTAATTACAACTCAAGTTTTTATTTTGAATATTATCATAGTGTCTGTATTTAGCTGAAATGTATATCGAGTACAAATAAAGCAGCTAAACACTTTAAATCTTGTAGCTGCTTCATTGTTATCACGAATTGAGTTCAAGTGCTTTGGAAATATATTTCTTTCCTAAGATCTTACTCTTCCTGGAGACAATGCTGATTAAGGTAGAGTGACTGGTGTAGGCCAACATAACCTATTTCCACTGCCATGACTGTGGGCCTCTCTGAGCCACAAGGACCAATAGTATAATATGCCCTTACTTTAGTTATAGCATGCCTAACTCAAATTATTTTTTAAAAACTGGCCAACTAGAGAATAAGAATTCCTTTAAATGGTAAGCTTTCTTTGTAGTTTTAAACAGTTCAGCTTAATTTTTATTGATATGTGATAGTTTAACAATAGTTACTGCATAAAGCAAAGTATTTATGTTGATTTTAACAACTATTGGTTTCATGCACTGTTTTTATGATGAGAGGCATTCTTATTTCCATATTATTATTTATTGATCAACTTTTCTGCCTCCAAAACAAGCATAAGAGTTGTTTCATCTTTTATCAACTGAAAAAAATTTTTGTGTTCTCTTTTTATGCCATTAGACAAATGAAAATGATCTAAGAAAATTTTTTTCCCAATATGGGTCTGTAAAAGAAGTGAAAATTGTAAATGACAGAGCTGGAGTGTCCAAAGGGTTAGTATCACTATAGAATTAACAATTACATAGAATTAACAATTGTATTTTTATTAGATTACTAGGTTTTGTATGCTAACTTACTTTGGTTCCATTTTTTAAAAGGAGAATGTCATGCCCTCTTCTTTCCTCCTACCTTTAGATCTCCTCTATTTCCTATGTGTATATGTGTGTGTGTGTGTGTGTGTGTGTGTGTTTGGAGGGAGGGGGACACTATAATATTCCTTAATTTTCTGGGAAGTTATTTTTGCATAGGCTGAGGGACCATTCACTGTTAGGTAGCAAGCACTTAATGTTGAGTAGCTAAGGAAGCAGCTAAAGGAATCAGATACTTTTGGAATTGTATCCTACTTTAGACTAGAGAGAGCTTTATTTGAAAAAAGCTGACACAGAGGAATGTCTATAGATTGTGCCTCAGAGACCTCTTTAGGGGACTAATCAGAGAAATATGACTCTAATGAGAATGATTTTTAATTGCTGAATCAAGGAGAATTAAAATTGAGAAGGAAGCAGTAGGATTTGTCTAGAAATGTCTAATGACCTTAGATCTGTTTCAGTGGATTGGTGTATACAAAAGCAAAATTTCAGAGAAGTGAAAGGTAGTCTACATAGTGTATTCACTTAAGAAGTTTGACTGCAGAGTTAAAGAAAAGAAAATGGTAAGGCAGTGGAGATCAATGAAGATTGTGTTTGTTTTCTTGAAAGAGAGGCAAGACATACGTATTTATAGGCATAAGAGAAGGGACCAATGAGGTGGATAAAAAATTTTATTAGTGGGGGACAACACATAAGTATGACAGGTGGGCACTTTGGAAGAGATGGGTTCCTATGGAGAGGTTATTTTTAAACAAATGAGATACTTCCTCAGACTGACAAACAGTATTAGGATGAAGTGAGATGGTACCTCGTGTGGTTGGCTAATACTGAATTTGCAATACTTTGGTAATATCCATTTTTTATCATTGAAAAATGTCCATAGAAATGTAAACTGTATTTTTTGCCTTTTCCACTGGGTGGGGTATGTGTTCTACCAAAAAATTGAGTGTAGAAGTATTTTCTTAACCCTTGTTTAATGTTTGGGCAAATAGAAAAAGAAAAATCCCTTTGTTAGAAAAAGAAACTTTGTATATAATACAGTGATTGAACTGAAGAAAATAGTAGTCAATATATTTAGCACTATTCAAACGAGTTTCCTTAAGTTAACTAATTAGAAATTATACTTTGAGGAGATATACCTTTTATTTCTTTTGTTTCTTTTTGTTTACCTATTTTGGCTTGTGGGACATGGCATATGTCATGTATTTGTATCTTGAACATTATGTGAATTATACTCTGAAAGTGACAATTATATAGAAAAAGCAGATATAAAGTCTGGGTTATATATATTTTTAATTGATTTTGTTTGGGAAGTATATTGATAATTACATTATCAGTTTATATGTGCTAATAATAGTAAATAACACATTTATATGCTCATTTACCAATATAAAAATTTTATTGTTGAAATTTTTAATTTTTTAAGGTTTTTTTTTCTACTTTGATTCCTGTTTAAGCAAGACTTCTATTATTTTAGAAGGAGATTATTTCTCTGGACTGAAATTCATTGCATCCTAATTTGTAAACCAGACCTGGATCTCTCATACTTTCCTGCCAAACAGCTCAGGTCTGAAAATATTTTTAAATCCCTGGGTTGTTTTTTTTTTTCTTTTAGTCCCCTGACTCTAAGAGGAAGTGACAGTAGTAAGTTGTGAATGATTCTCGTAAGTCTTGCCTGCTGGTCACCATAGAAAAATGCTCAGTCCTACAGTGCCCCATTCTTAAAAAACAAAATTTTTTCAAATCTTAACGCTAATGTGATGTCCTAAGAAAATAATTAATACATTTGTTTAGGTATGGTTTCGTCACTTTTGAAACACAAGAAGATGCACAAAAAATTTTACAAGAGGTAAGATCTTTTGTTGTATTTAACTTCATTTTTGGAACTTCTTTCTTTGAAACTAATTCTTTAAGGTATCTGTTTTAATAGTAGAGTTCCAGTACAACGATCAGTTGCTAAAAAGGAAATTTTTTAACTTTTCTCATCTTAAGATTGACATTGGTCTCCAAAACAATAAAATTAAAGACAAACTTTATCTGCAGAAGAATTCCAGATTGTTACATGAGTATGGTTATGAAGTTGTCAGGTAAACTTTCACTTGATTTGCTTAAAATGAGAACTTGGGGATGTATCTTTTCTGAAGTGTTAACAGCACTTTGGATTCCTGAAAACACTACAAATATGGATTCCTGGAGTGAGGTTATCTGAGATTATTTCACTACTATGCAAAACTTTATATAAACTAAGAGTATTCATAGAAAATGTCGATAGCCTGCAGTTCAGTGTAATAACTTTAAATTTGGCAAACATAACATTTAATTTTTTTTTTAGGAAAAAATAGAATTTGAATTGCATATTATTAAATTGTATGTAGTCAAGTCTCGTTATTCATAGTAGTTATGTTCTGTAAAGTCACTATGAACACTGAATTGGCAAATATTCAACTGCTGCTCCACAAAGAAATACAAGACTACGTTCCTACAAGCTTCTGGTCACAGTATTTTCATCAACTAACCAATACATAACTTTGTTTTTGTGTGTTTCTGTTTAAAGACATCATATTTAATATATATTGTTGGTTCATTAACGTTGACTTCATGGCCAGCAGCACTATGACTCATGCCTGAATCAAACCCATCTAACCCATATTTTCTCCGTAAGCCTGACAGTCTTCTTTCCCTTAGAAACACTAGCCAGCACTTCAGCACTGTACTTGAGGGCTATTTTAAATAGCAAAATCACCAACATAAAGTACAGAAATGTGAAAAATGTGGCACTCAACAGAACATGAAGAGGACACTGGTTTACAGCACAGGAGCTGAAATAAGAAGATAGCCCTGTTTGACCTCAGCTCAGATCATGTGTGTTGGGCAACTCATATATTTTTTTTATTGAGGTAACACTGGTTTATAAGATTATATAAATTTTAGGTGTACATCATTATATTTCAACTTCTGTGTAGACTGCATCATGTTCGTCACCAAAAGTCTAGTTGCCAGCTCTCCCTGTACACATGTACTCCTTTACCCCTTTCACCCACCTCCTTTCCCTCTGGTAACCACCAATCTGCTCTCCATATCTTTGTGTTTATTTATCTATCTTCCACATACAAATGAAATCATAAGGTATTTGTCTTTCTCTGTCTGACTTATTTCGCTTGGCATAATACCTCAAGGTCCATCCGTGTTATTGCAAATGGCAAGATTTTGTCTTTTTTATGGTAATATTCCATTGTTTATATCGCGTCTTCTTTATCCATTCATCTGTTGTTGAGCACTTAGGTTGCTTCCAAGTCTGGGCTATTGTGAATAAATCAGGCAGCTCATATTTTTCACCTCTGCTCATGTCCGCTAATAACCACTAAATTGTCAGTGAGTATTGATATGGGGGGATACAAATAAATTTTAGTGAATAGGTGAATTCCCAAATACAGGATCCATGAATAGAATTCCAGATAACGAGTTAGAGTCAGAGCATTGGCTAAGATTCAGATCCAGATCTATTTAAATACAAAGGCTTTGCCCTTTTCACTAGGTTTTGCTGCTTTCAAAGGCTGTTATAGTCTGAATTTTGAAAATGTTTCTATTTTTTCCTTATTGGTTTTATGAACAATAGTGCCAAAATAATGAAATAATTTGTTTTTTCTTATTTTAGGCTGAAAAACTTAATTATAAAGATAAGAAACTGAACATTGGTCCGGCAATAAGAAAACAACAAGTAGGGATTCCTCGTATGTATTGAGAACTACTGTATTTTTCAATGTTTTTGCATGGTTCTTTTTTGAAATATTAGACTTTTTATAAAACTTTATTAAAATACTAAGTTTCTTTCATTTAATAAAGTTGTTTTAGCAAAGTCAGTGGTCAAATGAATATTTCTTACCACAAATTAATTAATATAAGATTTGTGGTGGGCTAGGGAAAAATTTACATAAATAATAATGCTTAAATATATTGCATAATTACATCTTTTTTTTTTTTTTTAAAGGTTGGCACGTGAGCTGACATCTGTTACCGATCTTTTTTTTTTTCTTCTTCTTCTCCCCAAAGCTCCCAGTACATAGTTGTATATTCTAGTTGTAGATCCTTCTAGCTGTGTGGGACACCGCCTCAGCATGGCTTGATGAGCATTGCCAGGTCCACACCTAGGATCAAATCCAGCGAAACCCTGGGCCGCCAAAGTGGAGCACACAAACTTAACCACTGAGCCACAGGGCCAGCCCCTGGTTACATTTTTAAAGGAAAAATCTGATAAAAATATAAGTTAAAATTTTAAAAGTAATTAGAAGTAATTTAGATTTACTAATTAGAAAATTTTATAATTAGAAAAGTAGTTTAAAATTAGAGTGAAAATACTAGAAGTGAAAATATAGAGCCAATCTCAGAAACTCTGTTTGCACAGTATGTACTGTAATTCAACCACATAAGTCATAATTATCAGAGTGAACAATTCCTAAAGCTTTAGGAATTGACTAAGTTATGTACCTTCCTCAAATTTCTGTAATGCTTTTAACTCTACCCTTCTTTTTTTCTCAGTCTTCCCATTTATTAAATTAGGCATCTTTACTGTAAGTTAACTTTTCACATGTAATATTTACTAAAGTCTCTCTCTAGATGTAATTGAAATGTTCAGCATAGTACCCTATACTACCCAGTTAATACCCTATACTACCTTTTCATGTATTTATCAAAATTGTATTTAATTAATTAATTGTGTAATTAGCTAATGACTGTCTTCCCCACCAGAACCTAATTTCTATGAAGATAGAGACCATGGCATGTTGAATTTTTTCTTTTCCTTTTTAGCTGTATCACTAGGGCCTAGTTTAATGTCTTGTAATAATATTCACTCAAAATTTATTTATTTAACAGATAAGCCTTTGGTTCCTTGATGATCTTTGGAGGGAAATCCATGAACCTCCTGAATTATATGCAAAATTTTATTTGAGTGTATATATTTCTGAGAAGAGGATCCATGGCTTTCATCAGATTCTCAAAAGGATTGGGTTAAGAACCACTAGAATAAGCAGTAACAATACTAGATGAAATGCAGTGAAAATATAAAAGCTGACAAGTGGTAGTGCTGCTTAAAGTGGTAGGCTAGTACTGCTTACAGTGTGGCGTAGTCAGCAAATCCTCAGGCCCTATCTCAGACTTGTTCAATGCAAATCTCTGGAGATGGGGCCTTGGAATTTGTATTCTAATAAAGTATTTAGGTGATTCTAATGTATGTTAAATTTTGAGAAGCACTGGTATAGTGGTAGAAGGATTGCCACTTCCAGTAATTTATATAACCTTCCTGGTCGAGTACTTAATCTAACTTGGCTTATATAAATTTTTAAAGTCTCCTCCTGACAACGAAAAATGTTATTTTTTTATTTTGGGGGGACGGGTATATATAACTTAATCTTGGAGAAGAGATGGGGACCCAAAACTAGCCACGTGAAGATTTGTGGTCACGATTGCAACAGCAGCAGTTGTAGCAAAAGGAGATTCGAGAATAAAAGAGACTCGTGGCATGAATGAATATTTGCTGATAATAGATCTAAAGGATTTGTAGAGTGGAACCAAAATGTCTTCAGGAAAGTAGAATTTTCTCCAACTTCATTGCCTCCCTTATCTTTGGCCTTTTACAAATAAAAGCTCTTACTAAGGTCTTAGGGACTTCACTATATAGTCTTCAGGTAACTCTAAATGATGTATAATTTATATTTGTAAAGGTAATGACTTGGCTGATAATCTAGATTGTTAAGCTTGGGGCTGGCCCCGTGGCCGAGTGGTTAAGTTCACGTGCTCCTCTGCAGGCGGCCCAGTGTTTCGTTGGTTCAAATCCTGGGCGCGGACATGGCACTGCTCATCAAACCACGCTGAGGCAGAGGCCCACATGCCACAACTAGAAGGACCCACAATGAAGAATATACAACTATGTACTGGGGGACTTTGGGGAGAAAAAGGAAAAAAAAATAAAATCTTTAAATGAAAAATAAATAAATAAATAAATAAATTGTTAAGCTTTGTTTCTTCATTAATTAGTATTAAAATCTGAATTGGTGAATCTTTAGTATTCCTTATTAAACTTGTTTCTTTTTCTTTTATTCACCTTAGGCTAATATAAGCTCTAAGATAATGAGTTTGAAAATATAGTCGTGCGCTACATAATGACGTTTCAGTCAGTGACAGACTATACATATGACAGTAGTTCCATAAGATTACTACCATATAGCCTAAATGTGTAGTAGGCTATACCATCTAGGTTTGTGTAAGTACACTCTCATGTTCCCACAACAGCAAAATCAGCTCATGACGCATTTCTCAGAACATACCCCTGTCATTAAGCAACACATGACTATATATACTTCAAAGATACTTTAACATACGGAATTTTTTTTTAAAAAAACTTGTAACATTCAATTTTTACTGTAGCTATATAGGTATGTTAGGATAAAGATTTTCCAATGTTCAGAAATTACATTTTTAGGGGCCGGCCCCATGGCCAAGTGGTTAAGTTCGCACACTCCACTTTGGTGGCTCAGGGTTTCACCGGTTCGGATCCTGGGCACGGACCCGGCTCCACTCATTAGGCCACACTGAGGCGGCGTCCCACGTGACACAACTAGAAGAACCCACAACTAAAACATAGAACTTTGTACTGGTGGGATTTGGGGAGAAAAAGCAGAAAAAAAAACAAAGAGAAGATTGGCAACAGTTGTTAGCTCAGGTGCCAATCTTTAAACAAAAAGAAAAATTCCGTTTTTAAAAGTTGAATTGAACATTTCAATTATTGTTATTTAATCTTTGCTTTTAGGTTCCAGTATAATGCCAGCAGCTGGAACAATGTATCTAACAACTTCAACTGGATATCCTTACACTTATCATAATGGTGTTGCTTATTTTCATACTCCAGAGGTAACTTCTGTACCACCACCTTGGCCCGTAAGTAATTTTATTTTAGAAGAGTGTCTATCTGTTACTATCACATTATTTTAATATATTTATTTTATTTCTGAAATATTTCAACCACATACAAGTACAAATAATAATATAACAGTCATGTAGCTACCACTCAAATTTAATACATGTTGACATTTTGCCATATTTAAGTTCTTTTAATAGGGGGAATAAAATGTGATAAATTCAAATAAAATCTCCTTGCCCCCATTCTTGTACCCTCTTTTCCTCCTCAGAGGGAACTAGAATATCTTTCCTGTCCATTTTATATGTTTTTACTACAAATGTAGGTATCCTTAAACAATATATTAACAATATACAGTTTTATTTTGGGTGTTTTTTAAACACTATATAAATAATCTGGTTTGTCTATTCAATGTTATATTTTTGAGATAAACCATGTTGATCCTAGGATATATAATCCACTTATTTTAATATTTTGTAATATTCCATTCTATGAGTGTATATTCCCCTATTGATGGGCATTTTAAGTTTTTTCCTACAATCAAGACTACAATAAACATCCAAATCTTGTATGTATTGTGTGAGAGTTTGTCTAGGACAGTGGTCTTCAAAGTTTGTTTATATATCCTCTAAAATTTTTATGAAAAATTATGAATACTCTCATTTTTAAATTGGTCTGAAATTTATCATAATTTCAAATAATTGAGGCATATTATATATTGTAGATTTGCTTTAGACATATGTTTATAAAACTTTATAGCTGTAGATTTCGTTTAAGAATGGAAAATGTCCTATGTGTGGTGGTGGATGTTAACTAGACATTATGGTTATCATTTCGCAATATATACATATATCGAATCATTATATTGTTCACCTGAAACTAATATAATGTTAAATGCCACTTATAGCTCAATAAAAAAAAAGAATGGAAAATGTCTGCTCTATAACTCAGTTAACAAAACTAGTCAACCAAATAAAATTAATCAATCAAATAAAACTTAGTTTCTATTAGAAAATTCTGACTTTAATTTTAAGTTCAAATAAATGAGTTAATGTGTATCCCTGTGACCATGATGTAATTTATTTTGCTTCCTGGATGAAATAAGGTACCATCTCCACTTTAATATTTCCTATACAAGCTCTTTTTGCTTTGCTCTGTCCTATTTTTCAAGGGCATTGCCTTCTTGAATTGTCTATTTGATGCTCTGTTGGTGTTTCCATTCCAGAACAAACCATTATAAAGCAGGATCCAGAATGAGTGAGAAGTGTGCTTTTCATAATGAAGGAAAAGGGTAATTCTCAGAGGGGAGTTTTGAAAAGAAGAATCAATAGTACACAGACACATTCACAGACAGATCAAATCAGGAAGGAGTACACAGGAAATTTAGGATCTGAACTCTTAAACCTGTTCATGCCCATGCGCCACTGGAAAATTTTTGTTCCCCTACCTTGGTCTTGGCTACGATGTATGCGTGGAAGTAGAATTTCACATTCATAGAGTATACACATCTTTGACTAGGTATTGCCAAAGACCTTTCCAGAGTATACCAGTTTACACTTTAGCTAACAGTTCATAAGAACTCCGTTTTGTCCATGATATGTCAACCCCTTACTAGATTTTTAGCGGCAGAATCAGATATAATTATTCGTTCAGTTCTAACTACTGTGTAAACATTAACTACCGCTGGTCTCCACAATGGAAATAGGCAGTGTCGCTGTAAGTCCAGCTGCTATTTTCCTCTAAATATTCTCTTAGAACTATATTTTCATAATCTTTGGACTAAAAGCAACTTTTCAGGTGATTGTCTTTTTAGCATTACTGTGGAAACGAAACCACGTGGAAGTAGGAACACTGTGTTGATTTTAATAGACTTAAGTGGAGTTGGTAATAATATCAAGAGGTGGAAAAATGACATTTCCAATTGTAAACCATAATTTGACTGGGTTTAGGAAACAATTCAAGATAAATTTTATTATAAACTATTTTAAATAATTTTGCCTAAAATAATTTTTCTATTTTCCTTTCCTCTCATAGTCACGTTCTGTATCTAGTTCCCCAGTGATGGTAGCTCAGCCTGTTTATCAGCAACCTGCGTATCACTACCAGGTAAACATTAAATTACAATGAAAATCCTTTTGATACTTTCACTGCTTTTTTGGGTAACTTTCATTCTGTTCTTTCTCATGCAAATACTCTAGTAATTAAAAAGAGATAGTTAAGCCTTGATAGCAGTGGTTTTTTTTCTTTTTGTATGAGGGAACTAAACAATGTCACGCAAGAAGATGGATTCTTTGCTTCCTTTTACCAAATGTAATGAGGTCAGTTTTGCTCTCTTGGCTAACATTTAATCTAGAAAGTCTTTAGAAGTAATACCCAAAGTAGGATACAGATATTGGACCACAGGCTGATTTTTTATTGTTACTGTTAACATTATGTCAGTTTCTTCTTAATACATTTAATATAACATATATTAAAATAAGTAATATATTGTGGTTTATATTATAACAACCTCTCTTAGTTAACCAGCACTCTCTTTTCATTAATACTTGTGGGAGACTGGGGATAAGTGAACCATAATGCCAGACCATTTTGGTTTTTGTAAATGAAGTATAATTAGAACATAGCCATATTTGTTTACATATGGGCTATGGCTGCTTTTGTGCTACAGTGGCAGAATTGGGTAGTTGGAACAGAGATATTATGGCCTGCAAAGCTTAGAATATTTACCCTCCGGCCCTTTACAGAAAGTTTGCCAACCTCTGGGCTATAACATTCACAAATAAAATCACATTCTTTCATACCTCTGGAATAGTGGAAGAGAATTTATTTCTCTTTCTTTTTTCTTTTCTTTTTGACCTTTCAAAATAGACCCACGTGAAATGTTACAGTTACTGGAATTCTTTATAGTATTAGACTGTGTTTTGGGGAGGTCATTTATTTTTAAATTCTGTTACCGTGCTAAATATCAAACTGTCTGAAGTGTTTCCTTCATGTACTAAAAATGAAAGTAACTTAATGGTATTTTTTAAAAATATGTATGTAGCATGACTTTTCCTCAGCTGCTTCAGAATTTCAGCAGAGTCTCCAAAGACAGAACATTAGGTACCAGACTATTTAACATGACAAGCCAAAAATTGTGAAACTGGTTTGGGGACCCTTAGGTCAGTGCCCACTTTGAGCAGATATGGGAGGAGGATGAACTTGACAAGGGAGATTGGTAGGTAATGAGGCTTTCTTTAACAAGAGAGTTATTAGAATGCTATAGCATTTTCCCTTCTCCTTAATCAAGTGAAGAGGACTTCAGAAAATGACTAAGAGAGCTTCATATTTATCTTGTGAAATTTGTGAGATGGTACCACTTGGACCTGACTTCTCCTAAAAAAGTCCAAAGAAGAAGCTGGAGTGGTCTATGAAAGCAGAGCTATGAGAGAAGGCTACAGTGGGAATGTGTTTAACTTCTACTCACAGCAAGCAAAAGTTTGTTTCCCAAGAGCAAGATGTGAGCCACACAGAAAAGACTCTTTCCAAAAAACTTTAAGGTGATCCCGGTAAACAAAGAATCTGTGTGAAGTGGACTTCTACAATCAAGGGCTAGAATTGCAGTCAGAAGTTTTCAGCAGGGAAACCACCGAAAAATCTAGTAAAGTACCTAACTAAAGAGTTATTTGGAATCTGCCACACCCTATAAAGTGATCCGTCCTAAATTTTTATCCAGGGGCAAGGAAGAACAGCTCAACACGGTGCTTTTAAAGTGGGAGGGATAGAATACACATTCTTTTCAAATCCACATAGAACATTCTCCACGATAGATCACATATTAGGTCACAAAACAAGTCTCAGTAAATTTAAGAAGATTGAGATAATACCAAGCATCTTTTCTAACCACAATGGTATGAAACTAGAAGTCAACTACAGGAAGAAAATCGGAAAAGCCACAAATATGTGGAAATTAAACAAAATGCTACTGAACAACAGTTGGGTCAATGAAGAAATCAAAGGAGAAATCAAAAAATACCTGGAGACAAATGAAAATGAAAATACGACATGCCAAAATTTATGGGATACAGCAAAAGTGGTTTTAAGAGGGAAGTCTGTAGCAAAACAGGCCTACCCCAACAAACAAGAAAAATCTCAAATAAACAATCTAACAGTACACCTAAAGGAACTGGAAAAAGAAGAACAAACAAAGCCCCAAATCAGTAAAAGGAAGGAAATAATAAAAATCAGAGCAGAAATAAATGAAACAGAGACTAAAATGACAATAGAAAAAAATCAATGAAGCTAAGAGCTGGTTCTTTGAAAAGGTAAACAAAATTGACAGTCTTTAGCTAGACTCACCAAGAAAAATAGAAGGTTCAAATAAATAAAATCAGAAATGAAAGAGGAAAAATTACAACAGATACCTCAGAAATAAAAAAGATTATAAGAGAATACTATGAAAAGCTATATGCCAACAAATTGGATAATCTAGAGGAAATGGATAAATTCTTAGAATCATACAACATTCCAAAACTGAATCAAGAAGAAATGGAGAACTTGAATGGACCACTCACCTTACTGGAGATCAAAATAGTAATCAAAAACCTCCCAAAAAATAGAAGTCCGGGACCAGATGGCTTCCCTGGTGAATTCTACCAAACTTTGAAAGAAGACTTAATATGTATCCTTCTCAAACTCTTAAAAAAATTGAAGAGGAGGGGAAGCTTCCTAACTCCTTCTACAAGGCCAGCGTTACCCTGATACCAAAACCAGACAAGGACAACAGAAAAAAAGAAAATCACAGGCCAGTATCACTGATGAACATCAATGGAAAAATCCTCAAGAAAATACTAGCAAAGTGAATACAACAATACATTAAAAAGATCATAGACCATGATCAAGTGGGATTTATTCCAGGGATGCAGGGACAGTTCTGCATCTGCAAATCAATCAACGTGATACATCACATTAACAAAAAGAAGGAGGAAAATCACATGATTATCTCCACAGATGCAGAGAAAGCATTTGACAAGATACAGCATCCATTTATGATAAAAACTGAATAAAATTGGTTTAGAAGGAAAGTACCTCAACATAATAAAGGCAATATATAACAAACCTACAGCTAATATCATTCTCAATGGAGAAAAACTGAAAGCTATTCCTCTAAGAACAGGAAACAGACAAGAATGCCCTTTCACCACCCTTATTTAGCATAGTATTGGAAGTCCTAGCAGGAGCAGTCAGGCAAGAAAAAGAAATAAAAGGGATCCAAATTGGAAAGGAAGAAGTGAAACTGTCACTATTTGCAGATTACGTAACTTTATATATAGAAAACCCTAAAGAATCCACCAAAAAACTTTTAGAAGTAATAAATGAATATTGTAAAGTTGCAGGATACAAAATCAACATTCAAAAATCAGTTGTAGACTTAGTTGTAGGAGGAGAGCCAAGATGGCGCCGTGAGTAGTCCTCTTTGTCTCTCGCCCTTCGAGTCTACAATTATTTGGACACTTATCGCTTGACAAAGGATATCCAGACAGCACCTCAGGACGTCTGAGACACCCACGCGACTATACATCGGAAGGCGGATGGACTTTCCTCCGGGAGGATGTGGAAATAGGTGAAAACTCTCTGACCCCGACGGGCAGCCTAGTACCCGCAAGCGGCTTTCTTCCAACGGACGCCCCCAGAGGATCCACACACATCTAGGGCAGGAGCGAGAACACAACAGAGGAGCGACGGTGGAAACAGGTGACCAGAACCCTACCTAAACCCCCCGCAATTACTCCTAAACGCAGAGGGAAACTTTGGAGTTGCACACCTGAGCCCGCGGGGAGAGTCTCTCCCCGCCATTGGCGGGGAGACCCAGCCTGGTGCTCGGGGCGCCCGGAGGGTCCCAGAGAGAGACACGGAGGGCACGGAGGTCTCCCAGCTGCCGTTGCCCGCCCCGTGGGGCTAGGGATTGCCAGAGATCTCGGAGAGGACCGGGGCGGGGGAACTTTCAAAGGCCGGTTCTGCGACCCGGAGGGGAAGCGCTGGAGCTCCGCCAGGCAGCAGACAAAACTCTCTGTCTGCCATTAGCAGAGGGGCCACGCCCAGCATTCAGGGCTCCCGGCAGAGGCCCGGAGAGAAGCCCAGAGGGCGGGGCGACCCCCAGCTGCCGTTGCCCGCCCCGTGGGACTAGGGATTGCCGGAGATCTCGGAGAGGAGAGGACCGGGGCTGGGGGAACTTTCAAAGGCCGGTTCTGCGACCCGGAGGGGAAGTGCTGGAGCTCCGCCCGGGCAGCAGACAAAACTCTCTGTGTGCCGTTAGCAGAGGGGCCACGCTGAGCATTCACGGCTCCGGGAGAGGCCCGGAGAGAATCCCAGAGGGCGGGGCGACCCCCAGCTGCCGTTGCCCACCCCGTGAGGCTAGGGATTGCCGGAGATCTCGGAGAGGACTGGGGCTGGAGAGAGTTCCAGAGACCCAGCTTAGCAGCCTAGGGGGAAACCCTACAGGCTCACAGCAGCCTTAGGGAAAGCCTCTGCACAGCACCAGTAGAAGGCACCCAGCCGCCAGCCACAAGGCTGGAAGACCCCAGGGCAAAAGCAGCATAGCTAGGTGTACTAACCACAGACTGTAGAAGATGCCAATAGCTCTCCTGCGACCCATAGAGGACAAGTGAGATTTGGTGGGTGCCGACAGCAACGGAGCGACAAATATAAGTGATCCCACCCCTGGCCGCTGCAAAAGCCCATAACACCGTTGCAGACCCCAAGGAGAGAGCGCATCTAGGTGGGCAACAACAGTAGGCACCTGCAGCCTGAAGCCCCCCTGTGACGGCCCCCACGGCAGAGGAGGGAATCCAAAGGGCCACTGTGGCTACGAAGAGGGGCCCAGGCCCAGTTAGCAACTACGGACAGGGTTGCTGGTTGGTGAAGTATAAACAGCTGCTCCCCCCACCGCAGCAGCTGAAACAAGTGAAAGGAGCAACTAAACTCCATCTCCATGCGGAGGCACAAATCAACAACATCAAGCAATATGAAAAAATACATTAAATCTCCAGAACAGAAAGAAAGTAACAAATACACAGAAAACAATCCCAAAGAAAATGAGATATATAACCTAAATGATGATGACTTCA